CTTGATAATTGGAAAGTAAATGATGTTGTTCAGCAAAGTCGTTTAATCGTTGTTTAATTACGCTTTCCATCAGCTTACCAAGACAATTCAACAGACTAATCGGACGATAAGAGATGCGGTCATTTGGATCTTTGCCCGGTTTTTTATCAGTATAATGTGAGCTGGTTTCCATTGTGATGGTGTGAAACCTAGCTTGAGACTACTGTTGGATAACTATCAATGTCGAAATGCTGTATGCAGCTGTGGGGTTTATTGTCATACACTTCAAAATATATCTTTAACATGTCCACCTTTTCTTGATCGAATTTTGCTGTTTTGTTTTTCTCGATTCGTTCTTTTACCATGGAATCTATTTACTACAAACCATAATTGATCACTTTCCATTTCTGGTGTTGATAAATTTTTCATTAAAGGACGGAAAAAGGTTTCTGCTAGAAAATAGCGCAATATAAGTTTGGGTGAAAATGATCAGAAATGCTTCTCTTTTTACTACTCAACACTTCTGACTTTCAAAAACTGCTCTTGATCTCCTTGAAAAATTATTTCTTATCATTTTTCGTCACTAGTTCAATGAAGGACGTTCACTTTGTTTCTCAAATTTTTCGTACTATTTCAAACCCCATACATAGAAAGATAGAATTTTCCGCGGTTCAAAACGAGCTATTGACAAGCTTCTCAAACATATGCTCATATAGGACAACTGTCGAAATACTACACTGTAAAAAATGTGAGTTGTTTAGCGAACTGAAAATAAGTTTTTCATGTGTCCCGTGTATGGAACTCATATGAGGTTTCTAAGAATTTATAAAGCAAAGATTTTGAATATTTTGTAGAACTCAATATGAGTTCTTCAGTCTACGAATTCCCTATATGCAATATTAGTTTGCTAGAGAACTAACTCCAGATTTTCAGAAAACTCACTTTAGAGATGTTTTGTTCCTAATTTAAAATCAGTTAATTCAAACCTATTATTTTCTTTATTTTTTAATTTTTCAAGTTTTTTATTATACATTTTAACTCGTTTAACTATTGCGTTACCACCATTATCACCATTTGGATGAAACCTTACACTGTTTTTACTACGATATGGTACTTTAGCCATGATTAATTGTATTTGTATTTTATGTCTTAAATTTGTATTCTGATTGAATTTAGATATAAAATTTTTATTTTATTTATAACAGAAGATGAGCGTTCTCTTGGCAAGTTGTTAGGTCTCATAACCACCATAGTTTGTACTTGATTTTCGAAAAGTCCATCGTGCTCTGTGGAATTACATATAACATTTGTTAACCGATCTATCCGACAACCATTAATTGATTTGGTTCTAACCGATATATCAGAAAAATTAAGACGAGATATTAAGCTATCACTTATCACAATCATTTTCCTAATATTAAATCTACAACATAGCATGTCAGCTTTTATCGTCTATTCATTTTCAAGGGAGTAATACAAAAAAACCACACATCGTAGTTAATCACAGTTCCATATAACTCTATAGTTAAATCGTTATGAGCACAATTATCATTCTTTCAACCATCGGCATTTAAGAAGTTTACACTTTTTCTCTTATAATGATTGTCTTCTAATAAAAATCCTTGAAATTTTAATTTTTTGGCAAATTCGATAGATTTGCCAAAAGAAATGAAAGACAAAGACTTTATACCCTTCTTCCAAAAGCTGTGAAATGTTGGAAGTAGGGAGGGTATAAAGTCTTTGTTAAAGAACGGAGTTAAGTTTTTCAAAAAAATCAAAACAAAAGCTCAGTTTTTTATATATCTGAAAAACTCGGAAAGTTGAAGAACTCAAAATTAGTTGAAAAGGCGATAATTAGTTCTTAACTTTTTAAAAAAGTTATATGAGTTCTCCATCCGATTTTTTGTAAGCGTTAAGAACTGATTTTCTCTCCAGTGTAGACATATGTCATGATTTCCACCTATTCTAACGTTTTAAAGGAATACTTCTTTGACGCATCTACTAAGATCCGGAATGTTTTATACATTGAAAGGTAGAGGATTTTCTGGACCGGACCGGACGGTCCAAAAATCGGTTTAGACTGATGAAAAACCGGCAAAAGACCCGCCCGTTTTGAAAAATTCTCTAGACAGACAAGAGGGTAGACAAACTCTTTTTTTTAGTGAAGAAGAGAAAAATGCTAAGAATTTCAAAAACGGCAGAAAACCGGTCAATCACCGGTCGGTTTGAAAGTCTTTCTAGACCGGCAAAAGATCTGTGTAGACTGACCGGTCTAAACTTTTACACTGAACCGGCACCGGGGCGGGCCGGCGTTAGAACAGACTACTTGGTAATTCGATTCGTTTTTATCTTCTGAATCTCTATGATACATCAGTTTTTGTCTTAAACTATTAACAAAAACATGGTGTTAAATAAAATAGAAAAAGAGAAAAAAGAACAAATAAATTGGAATAACATCGAAATGAAGCAGGAAAAGGCTCCTTCCTCAACTTCTCATTTAATTACTGCACAAACAGCGTGATCGAAAATGATAAATTTCAAACAAATATTGAATATATATTGTATGATTTAATTGATATATGACGCATTTAAACGCTTATTATAAAAATTTTATGAATGTCCGCGTTTAAATGCAAATTGTTGAGAAAAGAAAAGCTGACGTTTAAACGCATATGCTTTTTAATTTACCACACAACTTTTGTTTATGAGTCATGGGTATGAAGAAACAAATTAGAAAAAAGAAAAATACTTTTCTGTTCGCATCGACGGCTCACCTGACGGTTTAATAGTGGCTGTTTAAAATACTTTTATTTATTCTTTTCACTTTTTCCGAAAAGTCGATGACGCTGTGATCTTTGTTTTCAGATATATTCCTCAATTTATAAATAAGCTTAATAAATTTTTGGTTTTAATTTGAAATTTGATTGAAATTTTTTCTAGAATCAGAAAACATGGCTAGTGATCAAACCGATTATATTAAGGTGAGAAGACAGATTCATCAAAAATTATTCGGATATTTCTTAAATTTCGTTTTCGTTTCTAGAAAGGAATTGCTTATGCTGATATAGCTACAAAAGAAGATGAACAAAAAAATTATGGAAAAGCATCTAAAAATTATATGTCCGCTGCAGAATGCCTTCTGGTAGCAAAAAAACGTAAGATTTTTTAGGTTAGAAAACATGCCATAGTTTAAGATGTTTTCTGCTTTTATTTATCTAGATGGAAATATGAATGAAGACACAAAAGTGATGATTACTAAAAAAGCTGAAAGTTATATTAATCGAGCAGAACAGATTAAAAAACTGCTCCTTAGTGAAGGTAGCAAAAAGAAAGCAGTTGCTGAAGGTGGCGGCGATGGAAATAAAAAAAATGGAGAGGATGAAGATCAAGTTGGTCCAGAAAGAAAGGAAATGACTCAAAAGTTTGCAAGTATTAACGAAGACCTTACTTACATAAATTCTTTCAAGGTGGTTTTACTATTTTTTTTTCAAGACTGCATTGTTTCTGAAACAAAAGTTTCATTTAACGATGTCGTTGGTTTAGATCAGGCCAAAGAAGCTCTGAAAGAAGCTGTTATATTACCAATCAAATTTCCACAGTTATTTACCGGTAAGGCCTACTGCTCGGAAATAAGTTTGGACGTTTTCACTTATTCTTATATGTGAGTTTGAACCACGTTGAGACTTCATAAACAGCTCTTTTGTAGTATAAAAACGGTGAGTAAGCTTGGACATTTATAACAATAACCTTCCCCGTTTATACTAGGTGAGTAATGTATTTCGCGTTTTAGGTAACAGAAAACCGTGGGGTCGAATATTGTTGTACGGAGTAAGTGGTTCGATAATCTATCGTTTTTGAGATTATTAGTATGGTTTTGGTTTCCTTTTCAGCCGCCTGGCACTGGAAAGTCTTATTTAGCGAAAGCGATAGCGACTGAATGTAAAAGTACATTTATATCTGTCAGCTCAGCGGATTTATTATCAAAATGGCTTGGAGAAAGTGAAAAATCCGTTCGATATG